ACTGGCCAACACCCCAATTAGCACTGACGTGCCGTTTTGCTACCACCGCCTCGTGAAACCCGGTTGTCAAAGTACGTTGGTCCAGGGCCAGCGATCAGAGCCACCCCGTTCTTTTAAGGAACTTATTTACGTCCCCGATACTTTTACTAGAAATGCTCCCCAGTTCCATTATGTCCGTTTCCCCAAATGACAACAACCTGGCCCTTTGAAGAGCCGGACACTCGCAGAGATAGTGAAAAAGCGTCTCTTTTTTGTCTATCTCCCGACAACTGCGGCATGACGTATTAAAGGGAATTCCCAGCCTAGCTGCATGATCCCCCACAGGCCAATGCCCCGTGTACACAGCCACTAACTTAGCTATGTCCGGTCGAGGCATCGCCAGGAGGCTCATTGATTTCTTATGGTCGTATTTCGGCCACGTCTTCCTAGCCGTTGCACATGTGCTCAGGCCCCTCCACCTGCGGTCCGCACATGCCACTTGGAAGCGGCATATATCAGTTTTGATGGTGTTTATAGGGACAAGAACTCGCTCGGCCCTGGAGCCGTCCAATGCCGACCCACATCTGGCCAGCTCGTCAGCCCGCTCGTTTCCTGGTATGTTCCTATGTCCCGGAACTCAGAGTAAGGTGATACTATGATGACTGCACAATCTCGTCAGCTCATCGTAGCAAAGCCCTACCAACTTTGAGAATATCTTTGGCGAATTTAGAGCCAGAATCGCAGCCTGACTATCCGTCACAATTGCGACCTCCCGGGCCACAACCAAATCCCTTCCCAGGATTTCGCATGCCTTCCATATGGCGAATACTTCCGCCTGGAACACGCTTGATCCGTTGGGAAGGCGATATGACTCCGATATGTTCTGAGTCTCTGAAAATACTCCAGCACCGACCCCATTCCTATCCTTGGAACCGTCAGTGAAGAGAGCAACATCAAAGCCTTGCAGTGGAAGATTTCTTTTCCACTGCCCGCGAGACGGAAGCTCAACCCGAAACTTCTTGTCAAGCTCAAGTCTAGGGATGCAATAGTCTGTAGCATCCGCAACCACTCCGTCCGGTAGTGACTGAAGGACATTGCCGTGGCCATACGGCCTTTCGTGCCAGCACTCAGCTTCTCTGAGTCTAACGGCGCTTGCCGCGGCTAGATTCTTAATATGGATGTCTGGTGGAAGCAAATGGAGGAGTACATCCATAGCGTCCGTGGGCGTCGATCTCAATGCCCCCGTAATGCTTATGCATGCAGCCCTCTGTACCCTACCGATCTTGGTACAGTTGTAAGCTTTCCCCAACGCCGGCCACCACACGAGTGAACCGTAAGTTAATATAGGTCGTACAATGGCCGTGTATAACCATAAAACCATTCTAGGTTTCAGCCCCCACCTCCTGCCGACCATCTTTTTGCAGGTGTAAAGTGCCGTACAGGCCCTGTTCACCCTCTCTTGCACGTTAAGCTTCCAGTTAAGTTTAGAGTCGAGTATGACTCCCAAATACTTAACTGCCGGACTCAAACTGAGCCGCAAACCACCCAATCGGGGCAGTCCAAAGCTCGGGATTTTTGTCTTAGTCGTAAAAAGTACAAGTTCCGTCTTGGCTGGGTTCACTCCGAGGACTCTTAGTATACTAAAAAATATTTGTGCTTAAGAAATAAAATGCCAGATCTTTTACCAAGCCTTCAAACAATTCATCCAAACTTGAATTTTTCAAAAACCGAAAGGGTTTTTGCGCAGCAACATTTTTTAAACTACAAAGTAAAACAAGATAAAAAAAAATACTATCCTTGGCTCATATACCCTTTCCTTTTCCTATTCGCAGCAGCCACTCCAGATATCTTTAATAGAGCGATCAATTTTTAAGCATGTTCGCCAATTAAGTCTGGTTAAAATCTACATGATAGACGACAGCAACCCAGGAACAATTTTATTTTGAGCTGCACCTCTATCTCGTTTACACATGACTTACAATTACAACCATCAACCATTACTGAAGTTACCCTGTTACTCTTATATAATATTAGAATAGGACGGCACTGCTTTCACAGTGAAGAGATTTACATTGCCTACGAAAAATATTGATATTATTTTAAGAGAGTGTACAGTCTGCCTAACGGCAAACATCTTCACTTTAACATCTAATAAAATAAAGAAAAATTTTTATTTAAAATTACTCTCAATCGAAACTATTTGCATATTAAGAATATTAAGAGAATTCCTACGCTTTTTCTTAAAATTGTGATCCAACATTGTTGTGGTTCATTAAATTAAACAAACTGTACAACAATGAACATTAATTTGTAATAGGTCTAGGTATGCCACCTTAGAGTTGCATTAGTTTTATTATACATACAATTTTTTCTCATTTACATTTTATATAAAGAAATTTTTGAATTTGTGAATGTCACATTATTGTTCATTGCAAAAATATGGCATTAAATTTTTTGTCGAAAGATCTAACTACAAACCGTATATTCGCTTTAATATTTTAAGTTCAACTTAAATTATTTAGCTTAGGTAAGCGAGCATAATATGCATATTTTATATACGAAACAAAAGTAACAATTTATGCAAAGAAAAAACACGAAAGGAAACAAGAGTTAATGACCGTTTTTATTGCACAAAATTTATAAATGATGACGATTAAGAGAACAAGAATAAAAAAAAATACAAAAAGAATTTTTTTTTGTTTAAAAAATAAATTAACGGTATAAGCAAGACATTTAAACGCATTAAATAATTGACACCAAAAAGATGACATATGGATAAATATTTGTTAATTATGTTATAATGTTTGTTATTCTTATGAATATTTTTACAAACAAATGTTTATATAACAACCATGCGCCTTTATTTTGTCATTTAATTAATGTTTATTTGAATTGTTATGTGCGCACATATTGCATTATGCACATATAGAGAATCGAAAATTCAATTTCTTTTGACTCAACAGATTTTTCTTTTAATATAACAAAGATTTTTTTTGTTTTCGTTTTGTTTTTTTAAACGGATATTATGTACTTTATGTTGTTCCCGCAATAAGTGTTGGAGAATACTTGGTGTTATAAGTATAAAATATGTTGTGCAACGTTTGTGTTGGAAAAATCGCTTTAAAGAGAAATTTAAAAGTTATTGTTCGATGTAATTTAGAAAAATTGCGATGCAACTATTCCTAGTTTATAGGCTAAGCGAAAGTTCGCTGCAAATTTCTAAACGGTTTATATTATTACAATACGAATTACGTGAAGTGTAGCGCCCGCTTTTCTTCCTGCCAACTTATTTAACACTAGAAAGACTGAAATTTTGTATATACCTGTGTTGCCCAAAAGCAGTCAAAATAACAAAGTACGTTGTGTAAGAATAATTAATTAATGTATAAATTTGTTCAAGATTCATTTTTTATATTTTTCATATTATTTACAGTTATGTAACAAGTTATTAGTAAATATTTAGAGCGCAAATGATATAAAATAAACAACTTGTTAGGTTGTCCTAACATAAAGATACGAAAAACAATTATTGAGCCACTGCAAGTTATCTAGTTAGAGTACGTTAAAATTAACAATTTATCATATACTTGTATGCCATTATGTAAAGGTCATCGAAATAAATGTTATTTCAATAAAGAACCGAAATGGTCATACAAGAAATTTACTCAGTTCAATAACAATTAGTTTAAATTTCACTAGCAGAATGACTACTTTTGGGCAATATGGGTATAACACACATATATATCGGAAATGAGCAAGGGGGGAAGGTAACTACAATTATCATTGAAAGTATTTTTATGTTGTACAAAAAGTCATAAAATTTTATGAAATTATATCATTGCATAATTTTTTTTTCTAATTGACATTAAAAAGCCAAGACTACCTCGGGCAATGTAGTGTTAAAATATCTTATGAAACGTACACATTTTAATAAATTCTCCTATTTTGAAAAAATTTAATTAAAAATTGAATACATTTATTATCATAATAATCTTTTCCAAAATATTATTTTTTATTATTAAAAATCCCGCAATAATAAATATTATAATTTGTCAAAAATGGAAATATTCAATTAGAGTTGAAAATTTTTATACTAAAATGAAATTTCCTTAAAGGTTTCATAAATAACTCCTACACTTTCATACATAAATAGCAATACGTAATTGTGTTACGTACACATCATATGCATACAAGTAGTATATAAGAGTACTTGATATTTTCGTTTTATTAATGTTCAATATTAAGGCTAAACCCTTGAGATATTAAAATTTTTGAACAATTTTTAACGCAATTATACCTATTTCAATATACATACATATCTGATGCTATCAATATTACTTCCATTTTCAACATTTCAACAATAAATCATTTGAATCAACACCTTAAGTATTTTTGGATGTATGTGGGTATTTGTATGTATATTAGTAGTGATCATACAATAGACAATATATTTTAATTAATTAATATGATTAATTATACGATCTGTGAATGTATTAATCTTAATTAAGTATTTGCGTATTTAAAATCTCATACTATAAATTAAATACTTTACAAGATTTACATTAAATTACAAGAGTTGCGTATTTTGTTATGATAAACACCCATGTTTATAAATCTTTAAGGACTTAAAGATTTTAACCTACTTATCCAGTAGGTTTGGTATTGAATTCCATATACAGATTGTTTTTACTGTAATGATCTTGCAAATTGAATACCAGGCAGACAAATTTTGATATTTTGATGATTTTTATAAAAAATAAATTACATTTCAGAAAAGCATACTGTAATATCCCCCATAACTTCAAAGGACAATTTCATATTAAGTAACCCAACAGAACAGATTGCTCAAGAACTTAAAGCCTCCTTCTTAATCTATTGCTTGGGTCGCAAGGTTTTATTTATTTCCAGGCTCTTATGAAGTTATTTTTTTTAATGTGTTATAAAATTTTTTAAATATAATTAATATTATTAAATATAATTCTTATTAATTATTGTTTATTTTTTTTTTAATATATTTTTAGGCAAAAACAGTTATACGGCCACGTTATTATTCATCTGAATTAGGTATACGTGAAAAATTATTTATTGGTGTTATGACATCACAAGAAAATATTAATACATATGCAACAGCAATTAATAAAACAACAGCACATTTAGTTAATAAAATAAAATTTTTTATTAATGCCGACAATGTTAAATCAAATTTTAAATTAAAAAACATTGTCGGCTTTACAGATACACGTGAAAATTTAAGACCATTTCATATATTAAAATATATTGCTGATAATTATTTAGAAGATTATGATTATTTTTTAATAATACCAGATACAGTATATGTTGATGCAAAAAAATTAAAAAATTTATTATATCATCTTAGTATATCATTTGATATATATATGGGTCGAAAAAAATCTGAAAAACAATTAAATCAATTTAATGATAATATCGATGATATCGATATAAATAATAATGTTAATAATATATATAATAATAATGGTGGTAGTGAAAACAATAATAATAATAATAATAATAACAATAACATAGATGGTGATCATAATTATTGTGATTTAAATGCTGGCATTTTATTAAGTAGTAGTGTTATTAGAAAAATGAGAACAAATTTAGATTGGTGTGTTAGAAATGCTGTTACAAATATACATAGTATTAATATTGGACGTTGTGTTAAATATTCAAGTAAGGTGACTGGATGTCAAGATAAATTTCAGGTAATTTTTGTAATTATTTATTATATGTATGTATGTATATATATGCACGTGTCTTGTGTAGTATATATTTGACGTGATTTAATTTTTTTCAAATCAATTAATCAATTACAAAATATGTCATTAGTTTCTTTGTCATTTTTGTTTTTCTAATTTGTTTTACCTTTAAAAAACAAAAAAAGTGAAATAAAAAAGTTCAAATGTCAATATTTACATATCTATAATTACTTCTACAGTATTCAATTAAAAATATTTTACGTATATACGAGTACTTACGTTTAAAATTTATTTTTTTTTTTTAATTTTCTTTATATATACACGGATTATGAATTTGAAATATGCTTGAAGCAAATTAATTCAAAAGTATATTTTATAATATCAATGACTATATCTCACATATAAAATGACTGTACACTCTCAACCCTAAAATATTTTTCAGAATTATTCCGACATGCTCGATTACCTCCTGAATGGTACGTAGATGTGTTAATAGACTAAATAGAGTATGTAAGCGAAGCCGATTTACATTATATTACTATGAACAAGACTACTATGATAGCCATTTTGTTATCCAAATCATTATGTGAAATCAATTCCTTGGAGATTGTCCGGATCTTTGACAAAGTAATAAGCTTTTCTTTGACTATGACCAGCAGCTGCTCAAAAAAATTATTGCAATTATTGCAAACAGGTCTCTGGAAGAGACATTGTTGACTGTGGAGACAATTAAAGTGGAGAGTTTGCACTCAAAGCAGAAGAGCTCGTAGGAGTTCTTTAGAGAGGCTAAAGTTCAGTGCTAGTTTTTGGAAAATGTGGAGCTATAGCCAACAGAAGAAGGGGACCTCTCACGCTTTATAACAACTTAGACATTGAGGTTTAAACCATCGAAGCCTTAAATCATTTTTAGGGAAGTTTTGAAAAAGGAAGATAATAAACATTTTTTTTGGGTTTGATTCTAAACTAGAAACTTAAACAAATTATTCACCATTCTTAATTTTTCTCCGAATTTTTCGAATCTCTAATCAATTATGATACATATACCTTTATATGTACCTATAAATTTTATATTCCGGAAAGATCAGATTCATTTTGCAATAAATTTTATGACATTTCCCAAAACAATTTAAAGATTAAGTTTTCTCTCTTAAGACTAGAGCAAAATTTTTATTACTTTTACCTACACACAAGCTTGTTGTTATTGAATTTGCAATGTCATATTGTTCTGATTGCAAACATAATTTCAACATCATATGATTGAACTTTTAACCATAACCCTGACTAACCCTGATTTGTTTTGATTTAACGTACATACATAATATGTACATATATCATAAAATTTTTAGCAATTATTTTTAATTTTGTTGTTTTCTTATTTTGTTTTGCTATATACAATTTATAACCATTTTTTAAAAATTTCAATCACAAAATATTTATTATTATGATACTACTACGTAACACTGATGTGTTAATTTGTGATAATTATTTATATGTATATACATATACACACTTGTTATTTACATATATGCACATAGAGATAGAAATTCGGTACATAGGTTACTCATATTATAACTGTATAGTAAAAGCACACACGGTATATAGTGTTTAGATATGATAAAATTGGAATTGTTCCAAAAAAAAAATTAAAAAAAAAAGCATGTGAAAAATATTTTTTGATTAAAAGTCATTTTTAGGCGTTAATTCCGTTATAATACAGAGTATATCATTCAAATTGTATAAAAATCAATGAACGTGCTTTCCTTTTTTTGCATTTGCTGCGTCATTTCTGGCAATGTTTTGGCAATCGCATTCAGCTCTAACACTTTCCTCAAAGTTGTTTTAGTCCTCGAATATTATCTTTCCCTAAAGGTAAGTGTATAGAATTCAGTGTGTTAGAGTGCGGCTTATCCTTTTCCAAATTTGTTTTTTCCATCTGGTCTCAGATTGGTTCTTCCTTTGTTATTAGTAGTCATATTTATTCATTAATTTTTCTTCTCAGAGTTTATCGTAAATATATATACAATTTTGTAATTGGATTCTCTTTGACAGAGTTGCCATTGCAGCAAGCGCAGATCTATGCATTTAAAAGACATTTTATATTAATTACAACCAAGTTATTTAATTGTCGTTTGACATTAAATTTAAATATTTATTTTTAGAATTCTTGAAAGTTGACATGAAAAATGACATCAGAAAAGTTAATCTGATACACTCTTTCGATTGTGGAAAAAAATTGAAATAATAATTGAATCTTGATGCTCTCTTAAGTCGCATGGGTATATATGACAGATTTGAAAAATATTTTAGCGTTCATATGAAAAAAATAAATTTGGAAAAATAATACAAAATTTATTTTAAAAATATTTTCTTTTAATTATTTATAATACTGTGAATGAGTTAAAAATGATCATTCTAACATTTTTTTAAATAAATAGATAGTTTGTCACTGCGTTCCATGTGTACATATGTTGTATATATACATTTATACCTATGTTATGATATACATATGTTTATGTAGGTGCAATATACTGATATTTATTTTATATTTTATGTTCATTTATTAGTTTTTAGTTTGTTTTCATATTTCTTGAGGGTATTGACTTTTTAAGACATTGAAATTTTCAGTAAATATGATTCAAAAATTTATGAAATTTTCGTTTTTACACATGTACGTTTGATCATTAAATATGTTAATAAAATTAAAATTGAATTAATGTTTAATTTAATTAAATAACGAAATAAGAGAAGAATAGTATATAGAATGAGTTCTTCCTTATATAAGAACAAATCAGACAATGTGACTAAAAACATGTATGACGCCAAATGTATTTAATGATGTTGCTGCGTTTTCACAGTTTGGAGATAAATATCTGTAAGTTTAGATAAATGCAATAAATTGCCGCCAATTTTTCAACTTCTTCTTGAGAAAATAATTTTTCAAATACATTAAAGGATAAAGGCGCTTCCACAGAATGTTCACTGCACACAATATGCAAAAGTCATGAGTTCCAAAATTTTTGCGTAAACAACATTTGCGTAATTTGATTCTTTTTGCACTTGTTACCTCGTTTTCAAATACTAATTGTTAAAAAAAAAACTGTATGTATTTTGATGTAGAAAAGGAAAACATGTAAAAAAACGAGATTTTTATTTATAAATTACAAAACATCAGTTGAAAGTGATTGATGTGATTGACATGATCGTCTGATTGTTGATGTTCTGGAAAAGTACCAAAATTAGATTTAATATTCATTGCCTTGCCACATAGTTCTATGTTTAAGCACAACTAATTACGAATATCTGATTTTATAAATTGCTTAAGCTAGGTGAATAAATAAATAAATAAATTTAAAAAATCTATTATATTGGGCAGCATAAAATTTAAACAAAGCTATCTTCCTTATACACACATCCAGTTAAGTTTGGATCTGTTAAACGCATCATTAAAATAAAAAATAAATTCAAATCAAACTACAAATAATCAAATAAAAGAAGAGTCTAGACATCATCAAAGCATATAAATTATTAATGCTCCAAAAAAGAACAAAACTGAAAATAAATCTTTTATTTTTTTATGAGTTTGTGTAGTTGTATAATTCTAGAGAAAAATTATGTTAAAAAAAGTTTTTAAATGAGTTCAAAAATAATTTTTTTTTAAGTTAGGAATGAACATTTTCGCAAAGATTTGAAAAATAAAAATTTGGTATTTTGCTTTCATTCTCCAAAATGATTACGTTCCATTTAAGGAAGTTCAAACTACTTTCAAATGCATAGCAGCCTAATCAACTCCGCAATAATTAGGAGTAGTTTGTAAATGAGCACTATTTTGCATTCAAAATCTACTGTATACAGCAGTAAAACCTAATCTATAAAATTTAAATTAACGACTTAAAATTAGACATTTATTTTTCCTACAAACGTATATAACAAGCCAACTACCGTAATGAAAGTGCATAGTATTACTACCTACTCACATTTAGCCAAATTAGCAAACCAAAATGTTGTATTATCTAGGCAGGTTTTTCAATTCCACATAAGTCATGTCCTCATAAATTCTAATATACGTTGCCAGCGCAACTCATTAATGTTTTAGTTTATTTTTTGCATTTCTTTAAATATTGATGTATAAATAAGTGATTTTTGTATGTGACGATGTGCCGAAAATTATTATATTTTTGAAACTTTAATTTCTAAACAAAATTATGTCTTAGAATATCTTAAACATTTCTTAAAGATAAACAACGAACTTGCGATACGCTACGGTATATTAGTCTGCATTTTCCTCCACTCACGACAAAACCTATAATCAATTTTTTTCTTCATGTTACCAACCCTTTACAAGATTTATTTTCTTTTTTTTTCATTCTTTTTGAGATATTTATATACATATAAGAGAATACAAAACGCAGGAATTTTAAATATTCTTGAAACAATATAAAATATTAAAAGAAAAAAGATTATATTTTGTGAATATCCCGACGATTCTTTGAAAAAGTTCAAGGGCAAAATAATTGGCCAGTTAATCAATATAATATTCACATGTTATATTATATATTGCGTTATACGAGTACATATATTGTACAAATATATGAAATATACGAACATATACCAATCCTTGCGAAACCACAAAGTATTCAAAAATTTCACAAAATTTTTTTCTAATTTTCGTTTTTAGCACTTTTCCAAAAAAATTTTGAAAAAAAGTGCTTATTAGTTTCACTCTGTCCGTCCGTATGTCCGTCCGTGGACACTTTTTTTGTTTACAAAACTTCTACACCCTTGAAAATAGAAAGCTGAAATTTAGTACGTACATAGACCTCTACTAGAAACTTATTTCCGTAGAACAAAATTTTTACCTATCTCCCCCTCTCTATGAGTTATACCCCCCAAAACCCTTAAAATGGCCTTTTTTAAATATTTATTGCAATGAAACCATAAGCATTTTTCAAATTTTGCAAATTCAGAAAAGCAGCGGCTTGCTTCCCCTAGCGCAGTATACTATAGTT